AGAAAATTCGGTACTTCACAGAGGTAGAGATGGGCACGTTTGATTTTTTTCATTTTGTTCGTTCATCGTTCATGAACAACCCATTTCGTTAGTTTTTATCAACAGTTCAACCAAATTGATTTCGTTCGTTCTAAATATGTTCACTAAATTTTTAACTTTTTCGTTTTCTTACTGAGAGAATATTCAGTAAAATCATTTGTTCAGGAAAATCGTTCTTTCAATAAAAAACTAGCATTCAAAAAAAATGTGTTCTAATAAATAGTTCGTTCAGTAAAAACGATAATTTTTCTAAATCCTTTGCAAAATTTGTTCGTTCATTAATAAAACAATCGTTTTTTCAAGTTCGTTCGAACGATTTTCAATCGTATTTTTTCGTTCGTTTTAAAAAACGTTGATTTTTCATTTCGTTGAACGATCCATTTCATTTGTACATCGTTCGTTTTTTTCTTCTAAACGACACCCTTTTTCTTCAAAGTATTTTTTTCGTTCAAAAAATACGATGCCCATATCTACACAGAGGAATCACTGATGCAAACCGGAAATATTGTTTTCTGGATTTCAAAATTTGATTTTGTACAGTGTGACCCATAAAACTGTGGAATGGGAGGATGACAGTTAAAGGGAGAGACCGGCTATGCATGATAGTTAGTTACAATTTGAAAATAAGAGCGTAAAGTCTTTTGTAAAATTTTACCAGTTGTTTCAGCCGGCAGAAGAAACGTTTTTTACAATTTTTAAATAACAAGCTCCACTACCATGCATAGATGGTCTCTCCCTCTTATTATAGATCTAGTTCTGATTTTCGGAGTTTTCTTTAATGTAAACAAAAATAAGATTTTATTCATAGTTTAAATGCAGTTTTTTTGATTTCGTGTCTCTATTTATGTCAGCAACTTTTTAGAGCTTTGTAAGTGTTCTTTTTCTTTCTTTCGTTGAAAAGGAAAAGGGGTAATATCACAAAATAAAGATTAGAATAATATACTAATATACTAATGATACTAAAAGAATACTATATCAATACTAATACTATTAGAATAATATACCAATACAAATACTATTAGAATAATATACCAATACTAATACTATTAGAATAATATACCAATACTAATACTATTAGAATAATAAACCAATACTAATACTATTAGAATAATATACTTATACTAATACTATTAGAATAATATAGCAATACTAATACTATTAGAATAATATACCAATACTAATACTATTAGAATAATATACTAATAATATCCATCTATATATAAACCAGGAATGGCTTGTCTGTCTGTTTGTCTGTCTGTCTGCTTGTTTGTTTGTACCTAATAAACGTCAAAACGGCTGAACCGATCGGGACCAAAAAAACATAAAAATATTAAAACAAGAATTAACAAGAAACATGAAAACAAGAATACATGAAAACAAGAAAACATTAAAACATGAAAACATGAAAACAAGAAAACAAGGAAAAAAGATAAAAAGGAAACATGAAAACATGAAAACATGAAAACATGAAAACATGAAAACATGAAAACAAGAAAACAAGAAAACAAGAAAACAAGATAAAAGAAAACATGAAAACATGAAAACATAAAAACATGAAAACATGAAAACCTGAAAACAAGAAAACAAGAAAACAAGATAAAAGAAAACATGAAAACATAAAAACATGAAAACATGAAAACATGAAAACATAAAAACATGAAAACATGAAAACCTGAAAACAAGAAAACAAGAAAACAAGAAAACAAGATAAAAGAAAACATGAAAACATGAAAACATAAAAACATGAAAACATGAAAACAACAAAACAGAAAACATGAAAACAGAAAAATATGAAAATAAGAATTAACAATTGAAAACATGAAAACAAGAAAACAAGAAAACAGAAAGCAGAGAACACAAGAAAACATAAAGACATGAAAACAAGAAAACACCAAAAAAGAAAACATGAAAACAAGAAAGCATAAAGACATGAAAACTAGAAAACATCAAAAAAGAACATAAAATCACGAAAACTATTGTGTATCAAATTAAACATAATAACGAAATAATTCAGTGAAAATCAGAAAACTGTACAATAGGAAGCCGACATTATAGCAATACCTAAGAATACTTGATCTTGTTGCAAAGCAAATAGTTTTACTACATAACTTATTAGGTAACTTTTAAAGTGAAATGAGTCTGTTTACACTGCAAAATTAATGCAGCTCGTATGTTCATTGGACTTATTCTTAATGTCAAAACTTAAGTCTAAACTTCTTATATATTCCAGAGTTTTCTGGTTCTCACTGTATGCATAGTATCCCAAAATAACTTGAAAACAAGAAATTGGATAAAAACAAAAAAGCATGCAAAAAAGAAATAAAATACGAAACCAAAATGGCTTAGAACTCACAACAAGCTATAATACTTTTAACACAAAAATGTCCTATATACTATATTATATATATATATATTATATACCCAATAGCATAAATAGATTATTCTGTTCGTATACTCAATATGAATACAGTGTCAGTTGATTTTCAGTGCATCCTCATAAAAGTCGTGGTTCACAAGCAACGCGTAGCTTTAGGGGCCAGGGGGGCGGAAGGGACATGTGTCCCCTTTTTCCAGGAGAGGGGCACAGAAAAAGAAAACAAAAAGTGAAAAAAGTAAGGGAACTGTTTTTTTTACAGATACAGATCATTATAACCTTCGAATTCTAAACATATTTCGTTTGACAATTTTTATTGTTTTTATATGCAATTCATACTTTTTGTACTTCTTTGACAAATTGTTTAATCGACATGAAAACATATGTTTCAAAACAAACAAAATATCTATTAAAAAATTAAATTATGTTTGTAATTATTGCTATAATAGTTTTATTTGATGAATCTTTACATTTTCAGAGGTTTTAAGGTAAACATTTTTTCATGCGGTGCAAGCCCAGACCATGTTTATTGGGACACCCTGTATACCATTACATAGCAATATATCATGAAAGACGACTTTTAACTATTCGTCACTGAATTCCCATGTTTATTGGGACACCCTGTATATCATTATCCATATCAATATATCATGAAAGACAACTTTTGTAACATACGTCACTGAATTAAATAGTTTTTTGGGACACCCTGTATATCGAGTATATCATTATCCATATCAATATAACATGAAAGACGACATTTGTAACTATATTGGTATGATGACTCATACATAAAATCCTGAACATAAGAATAGCGGAAAGGAGATTGGTCAGACTTGAGTCCCGCAGAGTAGGATTTATAGGGTTTACTCTCTTATATTTCTTATGTGAAGGGAAGTCGAGGGCCCTGGGAAAGTCGGGCGTAAAAACAGTTGCGCCGCTAACGCGCGTTCTTAACCGGTATACAGAGACTTCTAGCGGCGGACACTGGAATTAGTCAATTCCCAAGCATACTCCAGAAAACCGTTCAACCTCCTGGTGTCACGTCCAAAAAACAAGCGGGCGTGAGTTAACGTCAGAAATAAATTTATTTCAGTTATAAGTGTCAAATTTTAAAACAATCTAATTCATTTATTTATAATTTTTTCATCCGAGGCTTCCCAGCATATTGTGTAGCTTCCAGAGATTTGTCATTGCACTTCTTAAATTGAAAAGTTCACTATATAACTACAGGGTGTCCCACATCAATTTAGACCTCATCATTGGGTCTAAATTACAATTTGGGGGATAAATCAGAAAATCTAAGAAGAATGAATCATTTTAAAAAAATGAATAAGGCTAATAGGAGTTTTGTTTGCAGAAAATGCTAGATTTTTTTAGTATTATGTGCGTATTTTGGCGTTAAAGATTGGAGATAATCTAATATGATATGGGACGCTCTGTATAACAGTCAAATTAATGAGGGAGGGAAGGCATAATAACCTTTCAATTGTCCGACCACAAATAATGTCATAATTCACCATTATTCCGTCCTACCACACTTGTCCGGCATTGTTTACATTCTTTTTTTAAGTACAATTTACTTTATTATATTGAAATTTTAATTTTGAGCCAAGCCATGTTCTTTTTAATGGTTTAAAATATTAAATCCTGGGGTCTGTCCTAAAATTGATCATTTTTTCTAAATTTAAAAATTGTATACCCCCCTTTTCAAGGAACGGGGCGTCTGGACAAAGAACTTAACAGGAATGGAACTGTTTTTTTGACTAAGAACACCAAGAACCGAACAGAACTGACTGACAGAACAGACTGTTCTTTGACTAAGAACACCAAGAACAGAATGGAACGGAACAAGAACAGAATGATTGGAAAAAAAGGAAACAGAACAAATGATCTAGCTGAAGGCCCTAATTCTAGAATGGAACGGAACAATTTTAAAAAATGTCAGAAGGTGCTCAGCCCTAATTGAGACTTCATTTGTAGTGCACAATTTTTACTGTGATATTTTCCCAAATTTCATGTCAAAATGTCAAATGAGCAGCGCAGCCCCTTTCCAGCAAAATTCATGTGATGAAAAAAAAAACAAATATTTTAGCATATTTTTCTGTTTGAATTGGTTAATTTATAAAAACAGTGGAGGCAAAATAGTTCAATTCTGACCAATGATAATCCTTAGAGTTGCCACACAATTTTTTGAACCAATTGGTTCAGCCGTTTTAACACTTATTGGATACAAAACAAACAGATCACATTTTATAATATATATAAATAGGTAGCTAGCTGAACATAGCAAACTAGGAGGCTCGAATTACTGTTAAGTGGAGGCATATGGTGGCCAGGGTTTCCCTCCCTCAAGAAAAAGGAAAAGCAAAGACGACATTTATTCAACAGTTTTCTGGTTTGCACATAATGAGCTTAATCGTTACAATTGTAACGTAAAATCCAGACATCTCCTTAATAATCACTAAAAACGTGAATATATTCGTAAATGTGTAATTTAAGTTTATCCCTAAAATGCGCTGTCCCAGAGAAAGGTTTGCAATTTTTCCGGACTCGGGAGTTTGTCTGCAATCTGCATAAGAAGTAAGAAGGCAGGTAGAGAAATACACAGAATAGAAACACATACACAGCTGCGCACCCTATCTAGTGCTAGTGCACTTCTAAAGTTCTAACTAACTATTATCATGTCGGTTGTAAAAATGGTGACTAAGGCTTTAATGTTTTACAAGTGATTTAAACTCCGATACTAATGGGGTAAATTCAGTGATATCGTTCTATTCAAATATTAGTGTATAAACTACACAGTGAGAATCATGTCGTTTTTAAGCAGTTTGAAAAAAGTTCTAAATATCGGAAACGACAGTAAAAAGAAACGAGGATGTTTTCAACATATTAAATGTGATACAATCCCAGAAGATATTTGGGAAATTGTGGGAGAGTTGGGAGATGGAGCTTTTGGGAAGGTTCATAAAGCACGGCACAGAGTCACAAATAGGCTTGCAGCAGCAAAGATCTGCCAGCTTGAGGTACATTTTACTGTTTGATTTTTAAGAGACTGTAAGCGTAATTTCCCTGGAAACTTTTATTTAAACCTATCATGTAAAAGATATTTTGAAAAATCGTTTATATAGGACGGAATTCAAAAATTATTTTTTCCTCATTTTATATGTTTGTTAAAGTAGCGAGTGCAATTTTTTTAGAGTTCTATTAAATTATTGAAAATATACGAATTTTCGTTAACCATTATTGGAAAGGGATCTAAAACTTGTTTTTTGATGTTTATTTTTTTAGTTATATTCCCAAAATTTTTAAAAATCGTAAATTTATAACGAAATTTGTTGACAAACTGTTCAAAATATATATCCATGAAGAATTTGTTTTTGTTGTTAATTGGTTCAGATTAGATAATTTGGTTTCAGAATTACATTTTTTTCCCTTCCCATTATTATTTCTGTTACTAAAAAATTGTAATAAACTTATTTTCTGTTTTTCTTTTTTTATGCAAAAAGTTTATTTGCCATTGAATAAAAATAAAGGTAATAATGAGGAGTCATTAGTTACTCACTAAAAATATGTTTTTTTTGAGCAAAAAGTTTTCTTGAGTCTTAATTAAAATTTTGTTACTTGACACTAAAATGCGAGAAGTTTATTTTAATGTTTATAAAAAAACAGTGCTTAGGATTCGGATCCGTTGGATCCGCAATATATTTTGGCTTCCTGGATCCGGATCCGCTTCAAAATTAAATGGATCCTAAGCACTGTAAAAAAGTAAACATAGAGGTATTCTAAAATAAATCCTGAAGGATCCATTTCATTTTGATCCGGATCCTGGATCCGTACTGAAAACAGGGATGCGGATCCAAATCCTTCTCAAAGACTCACTGATTTGTTCCTCTTCTTTTGCTTATTTATTCAGTTTTGGGTTGATATTTTGCCCCTTGGATCCGGATCCGTGGATCCGCATATTTTTTTGAGGATCCGGATCCAAGGAGCTACAATGTCGGGGATCCAATGCATCAGGTCTTAAGCACTGTTTCAGATTAAATTATATTTGGTAAAAATAAAACTTCAGTAAATCAAAACAGCATTTTAATTTCATTGACAATAAAAATAAAACTACATCTATAATAAAATGCGAGTACAAAGGTTTATTTTATGTTCATAAAAAAAGTGATCAATGGTGATCTGTAAACCTCTTCTAAGAAGCTATGGTCGTTTTTCTTTCTCTAAAATTCTGTCAATTTCTTTTCTTGTATTTATTACAGAATCATCAATATGTAAAACATATCCATCACTTTTTATCAGATGATTTGAGGGTCTTATAACTACGGGAACAGTTGATATGTGAAATTCGGTGTTGGAATGCTCCAAACCTTACAGAGTAAATAAAATTTGCGTTAGTTCCAGATTTCTTGAAAATATATTTCGGTCTGGATTGAAGCTTATCAGTTCTTACGATCAAAATCAATCTGAAAAATATGTTAAAATCACAAAAAAAAATAAAAAAAGGAAAATCGGTTGCTAAAGGAACAAAGTGAAAAGGGAAACGAACTCAGATTATGATATGATATGAACGGGGCGATCAGTTCCTCACTTCCGATGTCAATCTTTTCTTATTCTTATGTGTAACATATTGATATTCATTTATTTTTTAAACTTATATTTATTTATTTCCAGAATGAGGAGGAGTTGTCTGATTTCACAGTCGAGATTGAAATTCTGCATGAATTACGTCATGAGAATATCATCGGGCTCCTCGATGCCTACTATCATAATAATCAACTCTGGGTAAGCAAGCATATCTCTTCTGTTTACACTTTCAGGAATTCTCGATAATTATAAACTAGTTTGAGTGCCCGAGGTTTCCTGTGGAATATAAAGATCGAATTTGAAAAAAAATTATATTTTTAAAAATTAAATGATTTTTATTAGCCCATGTCATCCCCAGGGTATCAATGAGATTGTACAAGAAAAAATACTTTTTTTTACTAAATGTTGCTTAAAAAGTTGAAAAAGGACATGAGAATGAAAAAATATTATTTCTAGAAACTTGATTATTTTCACTTGGTAAATTTTAAAAATCTATTTCTGAAAGACTTTATGAGGTATTAAAATAATTTTAATTAAAATTTAAAATATAAGAATCGACATTGATTGATTTCGGATGTTGGAAGTAAAAAAGAAACCTTATAAATATTATTTAAAATATAAACATGATATGCAATAGCATGAAATAGAATGAATAAAATTATACAACAGAACATTTAACATTATGCATTTAATTATAAACTACTGTTACATTCCTTTATTGTTGAATTCGTGACGTTTAAACTTTAAATGTCTCATTTGATTCCCGGACCGTACCTTTATGTTTAACAATGAAGTTTTGTAATGACAAAAAATATATCCTAATCTTGGTCCAAAACATCTCTTAATCTTGGACAAAAATATATCCAAATCTTGGTCCACAAAAAATAGCCTAATCTTGGTCCAGCATATCTTTTAAACTTGGACAAAAATCTATCCTAATCTTGGTCCAGCAAATCTTTTAATCTTGGACAAAAATATATCCAAATCTTGGTCCAACATGTCTTAATCTTGGTTTAACATATCAAATCTTGGACAGAAATGTATCCAAATCTTGGTCCGGCATATCTTTGAATCTTGGACAAAAATATATCCAAATCTTGGTCCAACATGTCTTAATCTTGAACAAAAATATATCCAAATCTTGGTCCAACATGTCCTAATCTTGGACAAAAAAAAACCCTAATCTTGTTTCAATTAATAGCTTGTAAATTAAGTGAAAAACAGTGAGACTTCAAGCAGTTCAATATGGATCTTCTTGTAGATCTCATCCTCATTTCTTGTATAATCCAATCCTCATTTCTTGTATAATCCAATCCTCATTTCTTGGATAATCCAATCCTCATTTCTTGTATAATCCAATGAACAAAATGAGACACAGAAATTGTGCATACTCATTTTTTTTAATGACTGATTTAATAAATTGTAACAACATCAAATACGCTGAAGTATTGCTATGATGTCGTCTTTTTAATTAACAGTTTTCTGGTTCTCACTGTAGTTCAAAATAATAATATCTTAGTCCAGCATAAGAATATCTTAGTCCAACATAAGTATAACTTAGTCCAACATAAGAATATTTTAGACCAACATTAGTTAAACTTATTCCAACATAGGTATATCTTAGTCCAACGAAAGTATATCTTAGTCCAACATAAGAATATCAAGAGTCCAACATAAGAATATCTTAGTCCAACAATCTAAGTCCATCACAAGTATATCTTAGTCCAACATAAGTATATCTTAGTCCAACCTAAGTATATCTTAGTCCAACATAAGAATAATTTAGTCCAATATAAGAATATCTTAGTACCACATAAGAATATCTTAGTCCAACATAAGGATATCTTAGTCCAACATAAGTATAACTTAGTCCAACATAAAAATATTTTAGACCAACATTAGTTAAACTTAGTCCAACATAGGTATATCTTAGTCCAACGAAAGTATATCTTAGTCCAACAAAAGAATATCAAGAGTCCAACATAAGAATATCTTAGTCCAACATAAGTATATCTTAGTCCAACATAAAAATATCTTAGTCCAACATAAGATCTTAGCGCAACAAAAGTATATCTTAGTCCAACATAAGAATATCTTAGTCCAACATAAGAATATCTTAGTCCAACATAAGTATATCTTAGTCCAACATAAAAATATCTTAGTCCAACATAAGATCTTAGCGCAACAAAAGTATATCTTAGTCCAACATAAGAATATCTTAGTCCAACATAAGAATATCTTAGTACAACATAAGGATATCTCAGCCCAACATAAGTATATCTTAGTCCAACATAAGAATAATTTAGTCCAACATAAGAATAATTTAGTCCAACATAAGAATATCTTAGTCCAACATAAAATATCTTAGTCCAACATAAGAATATCTTAGCCCAACAAAAGTATATCTTAGTTAAACATAAGAATATCTTAGTCCAACATAAAAGTATCTTAGTCCAACATAAGAATATCTTAGTCCGATATTAGAATATCTAAGTCCATCACAAGTATATCTTAGTCCAACCTAAGTATATCTTAGTCCAACATAAGAATAATTTAGTCCAACATAAGAATATCTTAGTCCAACATAAGAATATCTTAGTACCACATAAGGATATCTTAGTACAACATAAGGATATCTTAGTCCAACATAGGTATATCTTAGTACAACATAAGATCTTAGCCCAACAAAAGTATATCTTAGTTCAACATAAGAATAATTTAGTCCAACATAAGAATATCTTAGTCCAACATAGGTATATCTTAGTACAACATAAGGATATCTCGCCTAACATAAGTATATCTTAGTCCAACATAAAAATATCTTAGTCCAACATAAGATCTTAGCCCAACATAAGGATATCTCAGCCTAACATAAGTGTATCTTAGTCCGACATAAGAATAATTTAGTCCAACATAAGAATAATTTAGTCCAACATAAAAATAATTTAGTCCAACATAAGAATATCTTAGTCCAACATAAAAATATCTTAGTCCAACATAAGATCTTAGCCCAACAAAAGTATATCTTAGTCCAACATAAGAATAATTTAGTCCAACATAAGAATAATTTAGTCCAACATAAGAATATCTTAGTCCAACATAAGGATATCTTAGTACAACATAAGGATATCTTAGTACCACATAAGGATATCTTAGTACAACATAAGAATATCTTAGTACCACATAAGAATATCTTAGTACAACATAAGGATATCTTAGTCCAACATAAGATCTTAGCCCAACAAAAATATATCTTAGTCCAACATAAGAATAATTTAGTCCAACATAAGAATAATTTAGTCCAACATAAGAATATCTTAGTCCAACATAAGAATAATTTAGTCCAACATAAGAATATCTTAGCCCAACAAAAGTATATCTTAGTTAAACATAAGAATGGACACCCTGTATATCATTATCCATATCAATATANAAAATAAATGCATTTAAAGGGGAAGGTTCCAAATTATTGATTTAATTAAAGGTAAAAATTTTAAAATGATTTTTTTTTAATTAAAGATGTTCACCGATATTTCCCCTCCTTTTCTTGTCTGAGATTAAATTGACAGATCTTGATTTTGGAAACATTGGATCCAGGATCCAGTTCCCCGTTGTGAAAAGCCCCCTTAGGCCTGTTTACGGTACTTGCATGAAATTCAGGCATTCACTCTCCGGAATCATGATTTACTGGGATACGTGTGTGGGGGGGGGGCGGTGTTGTTTATTTGGTTTGGAAAATCTTGAGAATTAGAAACTAAAATTCCTGCTACGTAGATGTATAGACCCCTAAAAGAAAACTCGTTAGTTTTGTTCAAGGATACTCGCCTAAATTTCCGGCTCTGAAAATGTGCAAACGTGTGTGCAAGCGCAGGGGGCTGATCAAACTTTGTTTATTTTTTCTAACTAATTTCAAGGAACCCTTGAATCAACGTGACATCAAAAGTAGTTAACTATTTTATCTAGTTCAAATACCAGGGGCAGTGCATAGGGTCCATTTAATTCTAATGCGGATCTGGATCCGGAACCAGGATCTGCACTGGAAAAAAAGTGGATTCGGATCCGGATCCATGTTATTTCTTTAAAATTTACTGATTTTTTTAACGTAACAGCATTTTCAAAATTTTTGTCTTATTTGTTTGGCTTATTTGTATGCTAACCTGAACCATTCAGAAATCAGGAAAGTTTAAAACTTATTACTAGACAGGACAGCAAAGTTACTTTTTTATTTAAAGATGGTATAATTTACTAGACAGGACAGTAAAGTTACTTTTTTATCTAAAGATGGTATAATTTACTAGACAGGACAGTAAAGTTACTTTTTTATCAAAAGACGGTAGAATTTACTAGACAGGACAGCAAAGTTACTTTTATATCTAAAGATGGTATAATTTACTAGACAGGACAGTAAAGTTACTTTTTTATCTAAAGATGGTATAATTTACTAGACAGGACAGAAAAGTTACTTTTTTATCTAAAGACGGTAGAATTTACTAGACAGGACAGTAGAGTTACTTTTTTATCTAAAGATGGTAAAATTTACAAGTTACTTTTATATCTAAAGATGGTAAAATTTACAAGACAGGACAGTAAAGTTACTTTTTTATCTAAAGACGGTAGAATTTACTAGACAGGACAGTAGAGTTACTTTTTTATCTAAAGATGGTATAATTTACTAGACAGGACAGTAAAGTTACTTTTTTATCTAAAGA